CCTAGTACGTCTTATTTTCATTTTTAATGAGCTTTGTTAGAATTCATATATACAACACATAAATTTTTAGAAATATTTGAAAATATTTATTTAAATACTTTGAATTAATTGTCGAAGAAACAAAACATCCGAAAAAAACAATTCTATTTTTAAAATAATCTTCCCAGGCCGGAAACAAGTAATTTGGAATATTAATCCAATAAAATATCGACTTGATCCTTATTCTAATTGAGTTCTTCTATGACGCTTGCGGAATAAAACTCAATTAATAAAGGGATTAAAGTGACAACATACGGAATCCAATTATAATTAATAAAAATAAATAAAAATAACAGATAAGGAAAACTATCTGTTTTCTAGAAATAAGTCAAATGCCATGGGCAACAAATAAGAAATCGATTCGAAATCTGCTGCCAAAACTGCAGGCGACCTGTTCCAACACCTTCAAGCCCCGCATTTGGTAGGGGTCTCACTGCACGGTAATCTGACGATAATCAGTCTTCTGCAGCATCGGGAATCTATAATAAGGAAAAATAATGAAAAATTTATTTTAGAAATGAAAAAAAAATCAAAATAAGAAGAAAACTCGGCGCGACATGCGATGTAAACGTCATCAAGTGACAACGAATTTGAGTGTCACGCAATGAGTTTGACGTACGTCGCAGCTTCGTTTCGAAACAGCGAATCTAAGATCTAAAAATAAAAAATTGTAGAATTTAGAAAATTTAGAAAACATTTTTAAATTTCTTAAATTAAAATATTTTTGAGAAATTATGATTTGTGCACTGCCAAGGAAAGAAACGAAGGTGCAAAAAATCAGTTTTCGAGTAAATTTTTACAATCTGTGCTCATTTTGGTTTATATGTGAATTATTTGCTTCTATTCTTTGGATTTCTAAAAAATCTCATAACATTTTTCGATTGAAATTTTTACACTTAATAAATGCTTGAGTTGACTGAATTCTCAGAACGCAAAAACATAAAATTTTGTTGAGGCTCTGAGGTGTTTTTGCGTGCTTCTGACAGCAACTACTTGTGCAAAAATGCTGATCATTCTTCTTCTGCAGAATATCGAAAAGAAAATAATTTTTCCGCTTTTCTCATTGCAAAAACAACTTGACTCGAGAACATGCCTACGAGCACACACAAGATCACACTTGCCCCAGAAAGCGTTTATTTGCCTTTCGCGCTGATCTCAGCCGTTTTGCGTCCGAAGAGGCACAATTTTCCTCATTTCCCTCACTGAAGAAAATTTTTAATTTTACAAATACAACTTCTACATACTCGTAATTTTTCCGCATCAGTCTCGAGCACAACGGCGTACAGAAAAAATCTCAAGCGGTCTTAGTTGTTGCGGTGGTTTCCTGAACAACGGTTCGGTTCAGATCGGTTCGGTCCGGCTTCGCTCTTTATGGAAATTTTTTATTCTGCCTTTCAAAATTCTGTGATTCAATACTATTGATCACAGAACCAGTTTCAAAGTGGGTTTTAAGTTGAAGATATAATGGAAATTTTATAAATTCTGAGCTAAACTCTCTGCCTGTGGTTCTAATCGAATATTCTGAGATTGAAGACTAAAGAATTCTAGAATTCACCAAAAGTCTTACGTCATATTTTTTGCAATATTTTATTTTATCTCAGATATTTGCAATATTAAAAGAAATTTATAATTTAAAAATTATTTTTAAAACGATATACGGTGTTTGGTTCGAAATCAATTTTTGGAACCATTAATTTTAATGTGTTTTTCATGAATTTTCAATATTAGTTTTTAAACGTTTTTGGGATTTGAAGAGATGAGAGGTGTAGGGTGTAAGGCGTGAGATGATAAATGGAGCATTTATGTAATGAAACATAATTTTTAATCAACTTAATAAAAATGATTTATTATTATATGAAGTTTGATAACAAAATAATAATAAATGATTTTATAAGAATCAAATAATCAAATAATAATAATCAAATTCGGTACATATTCTTTAACTTACAAAATGGTAAATTAACTTATCATATACATTATGGTTTATTAAAACAAAAAAATTAATTTGTTAATAAAATCGAGAAAAATATTAAAAATAATTTCGAAAATTCGAAAGTTAAAAAATTATTAATTTTAAAATATAGAAAATTAATTATAATAAATAGCGAAACCAGAACATGGTAATGTGGTTAGAAGCACACATATCTAAATAATTTTTATAATAATAATTTTTCTTATTTTTATATAAGAATAAATTATATGATTTAAAAATATTAATGTTACAAAGAAAATATAAAATTTTTTTAATAAACCTAGGCTTTAAAGATATTTTGGATCATAACAAATCCAAATCTTTAAAGGATTTAATGATATTTCCTTCCAAAGAAGTGAAAGTTTGATTTAAATTCTTAATTTCTCAAAACTTTGTTGAAATAATTAAATAAAAAAAACAATTTTCATAAAATATTTTACATTATTTTGCTTTAGTTTGTGTTTAAAATTACTTGAACACCAAAAAATATAAAAATTCTATAATAATCTCATTATTATATAGGAATATATAAGTGCATTTAATTATTACACATAATTCAATAAAGTAGTTATTAACAATTAATTATTATAATTAATTATAATTGCATAATGTGTAATATATAGTTAATAAATAATAATGCAATTATATACATATGTACTTATATGTTATAAAAATCCTTCATAAAATGTCATATTGACAGTTTCGTCCTCTTTTGCTAGGAAAAACATAATATACTCGTATTTATTTAAAAACATAAATAATTTCTAATTTCTTGGGAATATGAAGTATAGTTAACAATAATAATTACTTGAATAACTATTTCAGACAGCTTATAATGCTTACTCTATAGATGGTTTACGTGTTTGGATTAACAGTATTGCATCTATTTCCTTCGTATAGAACCACCTAGAGTACTTACGCGATTACGTTTCTTAAGTTACGTTGTTCTTTGGTTCCATAAAGTTACAGATATTTAATTATAGTGCCTATGCCGGATTTTTAAATACTTCTAAGTATGCACTATATTTCGATTAAAAGTGATTTACCTACTGATGAAGAAATACTTCACAAATTACAGTTCCTTCGCATATTAGCAATTCCTTCATCCTCATCATTCATCATTTTCAACAACTATCTTCTATATTTTGCCAAACCTTTTTGTATTCACATAACTACTTCTTCTGATTATCACTACCTATATATAAGTTAAATTTTCTAATATGTCTTAAGTTTACACAGAAAGAACTATAATATTATAATGAATATCATATTTCTATAGTGTTGATCCTAGGGTAAATATTGTTTTGAAAAATTTGTGTGTATAAGAAGACACTTTTATATCAAAGTTATTATTGAGTAAATTAGAATCCACTTCCATCTCATTTTGTAGAATTGATTCTTTATTTATTATGTGACTCAACCCTAATTAAATTGTAACAACCCTGAGTTCATTATTTAAATAGAAATATTAAAATAATTTTATAGTAATTTATGGAACAATTTTAATTCTTCTATTAGGTTCACTTAGGTCTTATTCAATAGTTTGAGTACATATGCAAAACTTATTTTAAATGGACTTGCGATTCTTAAATATTTCCTTTTCTCTCTTCTAGCGTATTTTTTTGTTCTACAAATATTCTGTAAATTTCATTTAATTATTTTTTAATCATAATTTTAACCACAAGTACTTCCTTGGATCTATCTAATAAAGATAAAAGATCTTTCTGTGTAGATCAGTAAATTAAGATCATAAGACCTACTATAGTAGATGGATATCATGAGATCTCACATACAACTCAACTTTACACTCTATGCAAATTTATAATTATGAAGATATAAATCGATTTCAATTCATATCAAGAAAAACATCACTAACTTATGACGATATTGCCGTTTCTACGTTATGAGCAACATAGTTTGAGTTATATTTTGATAATAGATTTAGTATAGTTCTTATATGACCTCATTTATAAAGTCATATATGACATTGAGTGGGAACTGAGAGAGATACGAATGCACCTTAAACTTAGGCTCATTTGCTACTTGAAAAATTGTTTTTATTTAGTTTTTAATTAATTTTAATAAGTATAACATTTATAATTTAAAGAATAGACTATTATCTTAAAGTCAAAGTAGGTTTAAACTCTGTAAAGTAGGTTCTGTACTAATCTCTATCGAAACAACAGGGCTTAGAAACATACTCTAAGTCCAGAAAGCAACACAATAGACTCGACGTTAGCCGTGCCATATCCCAGATTTTAACTTTAAACTAAAAGATGCTTTTAAATACTATTATATTTTAATAAAAAAATTATTTATTAGAAAGTTATTTCTACTCAGAATTATAAAATTTCCATTTTTATAAAAATTAAAATAAATAAAAAAAGAAAATTAATAATTTAACGAAATATTAATTTGAGTTGTAAACCTTCAAAATATTTATTAATAATAATAATAAATCGCCTTTGTTATTAAAAAACGAGAATCACTATAATATTATCGGAATACAAAATTTTCAACCTTCAAAATTAAAAACCAAATTATTAATAAAATAAAATAAATCTTAAATATTTTTAGAACATAAAAAATATCAAAGTGAATGCAAAAAAAAATTAATAATTTAAATAAAGAATTTAATATAAAATAAATTAAAAGTAAAATAAAACTAAAAAATGAGACACCAAATTTTTAGACACTTTAAGACGTATTCGTAATTCGTAATTCGTAGATCGTAGATCGTAGATCGACGGGTTCTCGTGAGTCAAATGGGTGCGTAAAATTGGTCGTCACGCGCCAAATAAAAATCTACACAAAAATACTCGAAAGATAGCGACGCGGTGACAAAAATTCTGAAACAGTGTGGCAAGTGACTAATTTAAAATTGTACATAGAAAAAGTGCTGTGTTTCAGTACCAGTGGTAAAAATTTAAAAATAAAAATTGAATAAAATAAAAACAAATTTTACAAAGCTTCAATTTGTAGTGAACATTTTTATCTAAAAACGAATTCAAAATTCGCTCAAAATATTATAAAATACAAAAATAAAATCAACTTAAAAATAAAACCTAAAAGTATTTGCAAGTGAATATTTGCACTATTTTTAAAACAATTTGTTATACTGCAAATACAAACACTTTTTATTTATTAAAAGAAATAAAAAAAATCCGTAAAAACTGTGAGAAACACCTATAAATATATCAGTAGATTAGTACAAATTCTTAAGTGCTTTTTAAGTAATTGATACAACAATAACAACCATAATATATAGAGCACATATTATAAATATAAAAACAAATCAAAAGAAAAAAATTTCTGAAAATGCCTCTCTATTCTGACTCCAATTTTTACTACAGCGGCGGCAGTAGTCAACTCTTTTCGCCGTATTATACTCCTGGTCATTATACAAGTTCAACGAGCTCACATGGAAGTGGTGCTTATGGACCTTATACCTCCACTTTTAATCGAAATTATAGCGGTAGCTATATTGTGCCTTTAACACCGCCACGTACTTCTAGTTATACTTCACATAATCTCTCATCGCGATATCAGCCAAAACTATCAACCATAACAGAGACATCTACATTGATGAGCAACCCTCGTCACACAACCCTCTTGCCACTGACACGCATACAATCGCCAAAGTTTACTGACTACAAACCCACAACAACAACCAGTCTAACGTCAAAATATATACCTCCACGACCAATACAGATCAACACTGCTGATATTGATGTGTCCTACTCACGGTATGACAAGCATAAGGAGAAAGAGGAGGCGCACAAAAGAGAAGAAGCGATAAAATCAACTATTAACTCAGAGAATAATAAACAGAGTGTAGAAAGTACAAATAACTCAAATGCAGTACTGGCAGAGGAACAACGTCCAGCGCGTTCTACCATCAAACGTGATCGAGCAGTTGTACGTTTATCGACAATACGCTCACGAAGCAGAGATCGTGCAGCAAAAAGAACTCCGAAAAACTCTAAGGAACATACTCCGGAGCTCAAGGAAAAGAAGCTTAAAGAGACAAGCGACACTAACGAAGAAAAATTAAGTTGGCGTCAAAAACTCGCAGATGATTTAGCAGCAATTCCTACCTATCCTATCAAAAAATCTCCAGGTGAACTTATGCGTGAGAGGTATTTAATACAGGAAGCAAAACCGAATGAGCCACTTGACTTAGCCCACAAGCGTATTGATGCTGAACTGCAAGATGTTATTAATGAAATGATTGTGGAAGTCGATCCCATAGATAATAGTATACGTCGATTAAGCATACCAAAATGTCCTACTTTTCACGATATATGTGAAGACATATCCTCAGATAAAATTGATGATGATCTTAATGCAGGTGAACTGAGAAGACGTGCTTCTATAATACTGGAACAAGAACAAGAAATTATAAATCAATTACAGAAATCAGCCTCAGGCAGCTTTCAGTTGATTCACTTACAAAGACAAGATAGTCAAGAACATTTAAATGATGAGACAGCGTCACATCGACAATCGGGTAATAAACGCAAATCGAAAAAGAGCAAAAAAATAAAACACAAGATAACAGCTATTGTCGAAATTGAAAATTCTCCATTGGCTCCCATTTCACAAGAGCAAGAAGAAGACATCAACACACCCTCGAACAAGAACCCAAACCCAACACCGAAGTTTACATTTAACGTGGATGCTGTAGAGGAACATCATGAAATACACAAAATATTTAAATTACCAAAAAGAAAGAGCGTTAAAAAAATTTCAAATAATAAAGAGATTAGTTTACCAGAGGGATTTTTACAATCCTTACCAAAGGCCAAGACTTCACCTCTCATCAAAAAAGCTAAACCCTCAAATTGTGAAGCGGAAATATTTACATTTGATACAAAAACAGTTAAACAAAATGAAGAAGAGGAAGTAAAATCGGTTACTCTTAAAAGTTTACCTTTAAGCAAAAATATAATAAAAGAAGAAGTTTCTATAGAAAGCCCTAAAGAAAAGAAAAGTCAATTAAGAGAAGATAGCAAACAACAAGTTCTTCCATCATTAAAAGAAACAAATATGAAAACTAAAGTTGAGACAAAACTTGATGAAGTTGACTCAAAGCAAGTGAAGCAAGATGTGAAAGCAACAAAAGCTATACTGACGTCTTCGATTTCCTTAGATGCCAACTTAAACAAAAAGGACACTTCACAAACAAAAAAGGTTCTAGAAAAATCACAATCGTTAATTGTAGACGACCAAAACCCTACAATAAGCCCTGCAAAGGCTTTGAACGTAACCAAGTTGAAGGAGCCAACAAAAGGAAGGCAAGCAAGAATTGAAATTACAAAAGTTATGGAAACAACTACTTCTGCAACAAAAGCCATACCAACAGTTTTGGAAGCACCGACTGCTGCTGATGTGTCAATAGCAAAAACTACAAATGCCGATCTAAGAGATTTGAAAAAGCCACTATCAGTAAACGCGGAAGAGGTTAACTTAGCTTTAAGTAATGCAAAGACTTTGAATATAACTACTTTAAAAAAGCCAGCACAAGGAAAAGAAACAACAGCTGTTACATCTACAAAGCCCACTAATTTAAAACCAACCAAATCTCTTGATTCTGCAGTAGAATCAACTGCAAAGTCTTCTGCAAGTATTTTGGAAAAATCACAATCTCTACATGTTGATGAAAATGAACCGAAAGTGGCTACTCCGAAACCAATTAGGAAGGGTATACAAAAATCTGAAAGTGGTGAAGACTTTTGGTCTCAAATTGGTTCACGGGAAACACTTTATATGACTAATCGTAAGAAAAATTTATATGACAACCATTGGCAGAATTTTGAAACACTTGAAGAAACTCCTAAAGAAACAGAAAGCAAAACTTCAAACGATAGTGAACAGTTCAAATTTAGTTCACAGCCAATTGAAACAAGTCAGAAACAACCTACTGAGGACAAAACAAAAGATAATAGCTCAGAAGTTCCAGCTTCAAAATTGGTTAAACAAAAAGAGTCGAAGGAAGACACAAAACCGGAAAACACACCTACCAAACCCGTAGCACAGGCCGTGTCCGAAAAGCCGACTAACAAAATTGATAAACAGAAAGTAACGACAACAAACACACAACCAACAGAAGCTGAAACAATTGAATTGTCTACAACATCGTCGGGACCGAAAATAAACATCGGGCAAGTAGCCAAGTCACCTGAACCACAAAACAAATTCACAACAGAAAATATCAGAGAGAAAACGGCTGTTAATAATGCAAATACTTTAGCCAAAAATGCAAAATTGGCAACAACAACGACAGCAACGACAGCAACGAAAACAACAACTGCAGCAGTAACGACAGCAGCAAAAGATACAAGCACAACCAGCAGTAACTCATGTACAACAACAGAAGGAAATAAATCTATTGCAACAAAACAACAGGAAACGAAAACGAATAAATCAGCAGAATCGAAACAACAACTGAAATCCATTGATACCCAAAATTCGAGTGATAAATCGAAAATACCAGCAACAAAGGCAAAAGTTGCCGGTAAAATAATTAAGAAATCACCTACAACAGCTGCCAATGTCAAAACATCACCCACGGCAGCAATAAATGCCGATCACTTCATTTCGGTTGCACCAGCGAAAATCACCACGTCACCAACGAAAAACAAAACTGCGTCACCGACGAAAACCACAACAAACCCGACAACAAGTGCCAGTACAGCGAAGGCAATTACTACAATATCGCCCAAGAAGAAAACAAAGACTTCAGCAACCACAATACCAACAAAACAAACGCTGACTGAGGCTACGACTACTACTACGACCACGACTACGATCACGATCACGACAACGGCGGCTACAACAGCTGCTGTCGCTATCAATGAGACTGACAAGAGCAGCAAAGGCAACACCACCAACAGCAGCAACAACGGCAACACTTGCGCCAGCAACAATTTATCAAAGTTCGCAACAGTATCGAATTTGGCACAGTGTTTACACGACGTCGACGCCGATCTAGAGGATTATATACCTTCATCCGCGGGAAATAGCGACGACGACAGTTCATTCGATTATTCCAGTGCGGACGGTTGTGAAAATTTAAGTGAAAGCATGAAAAAGAAACTAAGACAACGTCGAAAAAAGGAAAAAGAAGAAAAAGCGCGTTTCGATCCGCAGAAAAAAATAAAAATCGATCCCACAAATAAGTGTTACGTGAAAGATGAAGCACCACGTTATCCGCTTGTTGCCACACCGCGTCCGTTGTGGAAACGCGAAAAAATTGTCTATCCGGACGATGATAGTGATGATAGTGATGAAAGTGGCTCCACCGATGAAACCGAAGATAGTGAAGAGTGCACCACATCCGAAGAGTATGAGGATGATTTAAATCCTTCCGGTATGACATCACTGACAGGTGATAGCGGAAGCAATACATCAAAAGAAAATTCTGCAATCATCCGCATGAGCACCTGCAGTAATGATTCTGGCTTTGAAGGTGGTACTGCGCCTTCAAGCCCCAAAAAGATGTTAGGTAAGTTTTGAAATTCATTCACGGAGACGAAACAGTGACCATTTTTTGCTATAATTCTTTATTATACAATAAAAATTTCAACAAGTTTTAATTAGTATAGATATTATTTTATACAAAACATATACTATATTGCAAAAAAAATGCTATAAAATTAAATACTCTGTTTTGCTATTTCAAAAATATATAAATTAACAAATTTGTGTACATAAAACTCGTGTGTATATTAACGCAAAAAAATTTAATGTTAACCCGTTAGTGGCGATTTAAAAATCTCAGAAAATTAAAGAGAACTAAATATTTTTTAATATTAAGTATGTGAACAAATTAGAACAAATATATCATAATAATATCAGGAAATTATTATTTAAAATAAAATAAATATTAATAGTCTTAATAAGTGACCACAACGAATACTACAACTACGAACACCACAAAGTTGCTTAAGAGTCGGCTATAAAATATAGACTATATTTACACATTTTGAGAAAAAAATTCCATGATGAGTTAAGTTAAATTACCATAGTTATAAATATTTATAAGTAATATGTAATTAGTAATATATATAGCTGGGGTGTTTCTGCAGAGTCCCACCTATCGCACTGACTAATTTGCGTGTTCCTCATAAATTTCGTGATTATTCAATAACTAATCTAAGATCTGCGTACCGCCCAGTGCGGTTAGTGAACAGTCTGATACTAGATATTGCTAAGTAGGGCAGCTTATCGGTGTTCGCATATAGCTTTAGCGCTCTGCCCCTTATGTACTTTTTGACCGAATCTATTCTAAGGTCTCTTAGCATGTCATTGGTGTGGATGTACCATGGCACTTTAAAGAATCTTCAGAGAGCCTGACTTTGAGCAACTTGTAGCTTTTGGATAGTACAGTCGGCAGCTTTGCTGTACGCGATACACCCTTAAAACAGTGCTGGTATAATTATCTGGCTATAGATCAGCTTTCTGTTCTTCGCGTTAAGGTTGTTGTGTTTGAAAAGTGGTTGGAAGTATTGTATTATACTAGATCTTAAAGCAATTAAATCGACAGTTGATAGTGCATAGTATAGTATATACGTAAGATAATGTTTGCGGATATATAGATTACGGTCCCTGAAAGATTAATTTGACAACAATTTCATGACAATATTTAATACTAAAGTACACATGGCATATTTAATGTTTTTGTTTACAAACAGCACATATGAACGTAAAATATATAAAAAAAAATATATAATAATACATCTGAAACATTTAATATACCGAAACTATAAGAAACAGATTAATGTACAAAATGCTTACGTTTTAGCAAAACCCAAACAATATTGCCCACACATTTAAAAATTTGCCAATTTTATTGAGCGATCCGATCCGCGCACGAGAATCATCAAAGATACGGATAAAGCACTAGAGCTATAATAGATATATACACAAACTGTATAGAAACGTTTCGGACGACATTTAAAATTGCCACGAATAGAAAAATTGAAATAAAAAAATTATCAATATAATAAAATAAAAAGAAAATAATAACGAATTGAAGAAATTATAAAATCATCTTTGGTGTTTTTGAGAATTCAACTTTTAATTGCAAGGATGCATAATAAATCGTACGATTTCTGCTCTTTAATTGAAATATTCCAATTAAATCGAATAATTCAAGTAAAAACAATGAATATTGCACATACATACATTTATTGACCGTGTCAAATAAATAAGTTTATGGATTAAAGCCAAAAATCTGCGGCAGAAAGTAATAAGCAGAAACATATTTTTCAGATAAATTTTTTGCACAAAAAACTGATTGCATGCAATAATTCTTGACATTGTTCGAGTACAAAATTATTTTGAAGCATGCTATAAAAATATCGCATGCTACTTTCTTGTGTGAATGCACATTATTTTTATACATAATATTTCAATTTGTGTAAGGTGTTTATTTTCTGCTCGCTGCGGTATGAATCCGATAAATATTTTTAAATTATCTTACAACACTTGCTTGAAGAATTGTTTTTATAAGTGCAAATACTTATAAATTTTATAGATAGATCTATAAAAACAGCATCGCACAATACTCACTACAAAAATTTTTAATGGACAACGCCGCGTATGTGAAACAAATTGCGCGTGCCACAAACTTTACGATTATAAATGACAATTTTATGGCATTTCTAAAAATGTTTAAATAAAATTCAGCAACACATGGATTTCATATTCGATTTTATATGTACGTGTATGTTCCAGAAGTCATTGAACTTCTTGAAATATAGAGCAGAATGCAAATTTATTGAAACATCCAATATTGAGTCTTTTGCATGCCTTTCAAAAGTTTATGCCGCTTAATTATAAATCTTTTTTAATTGATTTCAACACACTTGATCGCAATTAGTCGACTCATCGCACGCTAATTGATAATGCAAATATCAAGGTCCTTCGATTTATTTATATCGAACTGCAATGCAGTTCTGTACTTTACATTGTGCAAGTAAAAATTGTTGCCAAAGCGGATATTTTCAAAATATTCGAATGTTTAAACTAAGAAACATTATAGCAAAAAATTGATTGTATGACTTATTACTGTTCATCGATTATTTTCAATTTTGTCAGTATTTATAAAATATTTATAATCAATAATCCTTTGAAATTGAGGAGATTTATTGATTAAAAACAAACTATATATTGCTATATATATATGTAGAGACATTTTTAAGAATATATTAAAAGATAATACAGATTCCTTTATTTTAAATAATTTTATATATGTAGTTCTGAAAAAATTCTCCTTCTCATCTCCTTCGCTTCTTACGTTTTTCATTATACAGTAGTCGTCTAATATCGGGTCATCTAATATTGGTTTTTTTCGCTGCATGAGAACTTGAAATGAGAATATTTTTCAAATTGCAAAAACATTCCACAAATATTTTTTGAATAAAATTTTTTTATTATAATCGGGTAGGTAATTTCATGGCATTTGTATTTATATAATATTTATATTATATAACTTCCGGCATACGAGTTAGATCATCCATTCAACAAGTACAATATTTGACTATTTTTTGCAATAAATGTCGTATGACGTCAATGGTGGCATGAACTCAGCTTATAAAGCTTCAAGAGTCGCTGGTTTGCTGGTTTGTCGGCATAAACAAATAACTTACATAGCCCCATAAGAAGTAATCGAGAGGCGTTAAACTGCAATAATGATGGGCCAGTTAACAGGACTATTTCTGATATAAAAGTTGTTGTCAAATTGATTTCACACAAAATCGTTTGTTAAGCACGCTGTATGACAAATTGCGTCAACAAGTTAGATCCAAATGTCACCGATATTTAAATGAATATTTTTTGGAAACAAAAATTTAGTCAGCATGGCTCGATAGCACTTACTATTCACGTAACGGCAGCTCCTTCCTCATTTTAAAAGAAATAAGGTTTGGTGATGTAACAGTGATTCGTTAACGGCTTGAGGATTATCTTCGCTCCATATATGACAATTTTGCTTATTGACATAGCCATTTAATCAGAAATGTGTTTTATCACTAAACACAATTTTTCAATAAGGCTCTTCTTCGACCAGTTTCAAATAAACCATAACAACCCGTTAGCGAGTTTCGGCCTGACGCAGCATGTCTCCCCGGGCGCCTCTGCCGCCTGCGCGCCTTCTCCAGTCTCGTATATCAAGTCCAGTTCGTGCTCCCTCAACTTGATCACTCCACCGGAGACACGGTCTACCTCTACGTCTTCTTCCGCCAACTACTGCTTCAAACACCTTTTTCGCCGGAGCGTCTTCATCCATTCTCCCGACATGACTAAGCCATTTCAAATCAACCCAATCAGCAAAAATGTAACGCAAACGATTAGTATAGTTATTAATATCGATATCAATAATTCTGATGAGGCTAAAAAAACACCTGTTATAAGATATACCCAGTTCAGCGATTATTCAGTTTGACGAGCTATAAAATTCTGTCATTGACTACTTATTTATTATTTACAATAGTTAAAGATTTAACGAATAGGCACCAGAATGGACTATTGAATATAATATATAATGTATTTTTACTTTTTAATATATTTTTAACTTTTTGGATGCAATGGCCGACAAAACTTCTATTAAAATGAATGGAAATGTCAATAACATCAACGAAGTCTCTTATTGCCAACCGAACTTTGATTTTTTTAAGGTATGATGAATCCGTTTATGTACTGATTAATTGGAACGCAGTAATTGGTCAAGCAATGGGGTCAGTCAAAACATATCAATTATTTAACTAGACTAAAAAGTCCCCCAGAACTTACTACGGTTGAAGATATATGAAGAAGTCCCACATCTCTTGTTTATTAAAGCAAAATGTAGATGATACAACATCATAACATCTTAAATTAAATTAAAATAAAAATCAAAAATCATTACCTAAATTTCAGACCCTCATTAATTTTTAATTTGAACAAAATTTTAAAATGATATTGTAAACCTCATCTATTTAATTAAAAAGAACATATAAGTATAAAATACTCATATCATTTACTAAGGTAATTAAATAAAATAAAGTAATAAGTAATTAGTAAAATACTCATATAATTTACTAAAGTAATTAAACTAATCGTTGAAAATGTCCCACTTACAAGACCTCAGATTCGAATATTCGCATATTGTGTAAAGAATTCTTTCATTCCATTTTTTCTATTTAATACTTCTTGAATATTATATTTTATTTTATTTTTTTTAATTATTCCAAGTAAACCAAAAATGATATAGATATATTTTTTAACACAAATAAATTAAAAAATGATAACAAAAATTATATCTTAGAAGTGTTATACGCGAAACCTAAAAAAAATATTTTAAACATGTTAACATAAATAATATTTTCTGAAAAAAATTGTCTTAAAACAGCCATTTTTTCCTTTAATCCTTTACCTTAAAATATCGAGTTTGACAATAAAAGACACTTTAATAAACTTCAATTGTTAGTATTCTAATACATATCAACTCACTAGTTGCACTAA